CCAGGTTCCAAATCCAGGTTCCTCCAGACATTGGAATCAAGGCAGTAAATGGCCAAGGTCTCTGGCACCCAGTTAAGGGGTAAGTGGTTGTTCTCAACATGAGCTACACATTGAAATCTTCTGGTAAGCTCTAAAGGAATGCCAGTGCCTGTGTTCATTCCACCTTGGAGATTGAGTTTGTTGGCATTGAGAGGACACTCTGGGAATCAGGGGTCTTAAGAGCTCCCCAGATGATACCAACATGCAGCCCAAATATGCAGCCAGGGGTGAGAACCTCTGAGCCAGGGGACTGCAGGCAGTCTAGTCCAGGTGTGGTTTTATTTTTTGAATAATTATTATATGGTAGACATTAGAAAAATAAGGAAGAATAATTCTGATCCTGTTTCAGTGGAACAAATGATTAAGTCCTGAAAATGCCCTTTATCACATGGGGGAATGGGCTGGAATATAGTGTCAGTTGCTACAGGGATGGGGGATGTGTTTGGAAAGAGGAGATCAGGAGAGGTAAGGAGGACTGCCCAGTGTTTTGGGGTGAGATGTGTGTGTGTGTGGGGGGGGGGTCATAGTGGCACTTTTCAACAGATTAAGTGATCGTTACATGTTGACAAGGTGATATCCCAGCCAATAATGAGACTGTGAATTGTACTGAGTCCCACAAGTCTTGGTGCTAATCCTTCTTGGGTGCTAATCCTGGCCACATCCTGGCTTGAGGGTTAGGGCCCAGGAGGGCAGGTGGCTCCCTGGCCAAGTACAACCCATCAGTGCATTTGTCCATCTTTCACTAGCGTTGCAAATATCTTCTCCAAATAAATGGAAACCAGCATATGGCAACCCCAGAGAGACACTCATTCTGAAGAATCCCCTACTCCCCACCCCGAGGAGCCAGGTGGTGCTTTGTTTGTATGAATGCATAGGATTCCCTACCATGGGGAAATCTGACTTTAAAAACTCCTAGAAGACTTAGAAGACAGCTAACTGCTATTTACATCAGGGTTGTGAATGCAAACACTAGGCCAAATAGGTGGTGATGGCACAGTTCTAGATCCAGGGGTGCTTTTGTCCTTCTACAGCCAGGGTGGGTCCAAATGAGTCCAGCCCCTCATTAGAGTACATCGTTCAGGGTGCACAGGGCCCCATGGTTATATGGGGCTCTGTCCCAGGCACTGAGCTGTGACCTGCCTACTGTGTCTCAGCTATGGCAGCTCTCAGATGTTCTGCACGGAGGCTCCCTATGCTCGGCTAAGACAGAGCACTGTGCACCCTGCTCCCCACAGCTGCCCTCTGCCCCCCTCTGCCCCCACATCTTCTGTCATTCCAAAGTATCCTGGTGTACAGATACAAATTTTCACTTCAAAGGGGAGGGAAGAAAGCTGTGCTCTCCAGTGGGTCATGCAGTGCCACTTCGAGACAGTTTTATTTGGGCAGTAAAATCTATGAGTTGTTCTTGGCAACAGTTCTAATGAAATAGAAACCTTGAAATAATGCATAGGGCAGTATATACGGCCTCACCCTACATCTCGGGGACTAAAGGTTGGATGATCTTATTAGTTGATCTGATTTACTTTTAAAGGGGATCTGTATTGGCACATCCTTTCAGAATGTAAAGAAGGTCTGTGTGATTTGCCTCATGGAAGCTCTGTATTTGAGGTCAGAGTTATTCCTGTGCATGGCAGAGAGCTGAGATGCTCTCACAAATGGGAGCATACCATGCTCCTGGCTGGGAAGAATCAACATTGTTAAAATGTCTATACTTCCCAAAGCAATCTACAGATTCAATGCAATCCACATTAAAATACCAATATCATACTCTGAAGAGCTGGAAAAAATAGTTCTTCATTTCTCATGGAACCAGAAAAAAACTCCGTACAGCCAAGGCAGTCCTTAGTAATAAAAACAAAGCTGGAGGCATCACCCTACCAGGTTACCTTTAGGCCACACTACAAGTCCATAGTGATCAAAACAGCATGGTATTGGCACAAAAATAGAGTCATAGACATTTGGAACTGAATAGAAAAGCAAGCAATAAAACCGGCTCTTGTAATCTGATCTTGATAAACTAAACAAAAGAATACACTGGGTGTGGGAGGGAAATCCTTACTCTATAAATGGTTCTGGGAGAACTGGATAACCACATGTAAAAGACTGAAACTGAACTCACATCTTTCACCATTTACAAAAATTGATCCAAGATGGATAAAAGATTTCCATTTAAGGCATGAAATGATAAAAATCCTATAAGAAGGCTTGGTGCCCGTAGCATAGTGGTTACAGTGCCAGCCGCATACACCAAGGGTTGTGGGTTCGAACCCAGCCTGAGCCAGGTAAACAACTGCAACAAAAAAATAGCTAGGCCTTATAGCAGGCACCTGTAGTCCCAGCTACTTGGGAGGCTGAAGCAAGAGCATTGCTTAAACCCAAGAGTTTGAGGTTGCTGTGAGCTGTGACACCATGGCACTCTACCGAGAGTGACATAGTGAGACTCTGTCTCCAAAAAAAATCCTAGAGGAAAGTGTGGGAAAAACTCTTGAGGATGTTGGCCTGGGAAAAGATTTTATCAAGATGACTTCAGTGGCAACAACAACAAAAAAAATGGACTTAATTAAACTGAAAAGCTTCTGCACAGCTAAGAACACAACAATCAAAACAAATATACAACCTTCAGAATGGGAAAAGATATTTGCATGTTAGGAATCTGACAAAAGTTTAATAACAAGGATCTATGGAGAACTCAATCAACAAAAAAAGAGCAAACAGTCCCATCTATCACTGGGCAAGAGGCATGCATGAACAGAACTTTCTCTGAGGAAGATAGACAAATGGCTAAAAAACAAAAAATGCTCATTGTCCCTAATCAAAGAAATGCAAATCAAACCCACCCTGAGATATCACCTAATTGCAGGAAGATTAGCCCACATCACAAAGTCCCAAAATTACAGATGCTGGCATGGATGTGGAGAGAGTGGAACACTTTTACACTGTTGGTGGGACTGCAAACTAATAAAGCCTCTTTGGAAAGCAGTATGGAGAATTCTCAAAGAACACAAATTAGACCTGTGTGATCCTGCAGTGCGACTACTAGCCACTTACCCAGAAGAAAAAAAAAATCCTTTTGTCATAAAGATATTTGCACTAGATTGTTTATCGCAGCTCAATTTATAATCCTCAAAATGTGGAAACAATTTAAATGCCCATCAACTCGGGAATGGATTAACAAACTGTGGTGTATGTATACCATGGAATACTATTCAGCTATAAAAATGATGGGGACGTTTCATCTGTTAACCTGGATAGAGTTAAAACACATTTTCTTAGTAAAGTATTACAAGAATGGAAAAGCAAATACCCGATGTATTAAATACTAATATGAAGCCAGAGATTGATGTTCTCCTACTCAAGGAGCACAATGTAGGGGTGTATGGCACACCTTTTGGGTGCAGGACACAACTGTAAGAGGGACTCTAACAGATTCAAATATTGTGAACTGGTTGTTTATACCCTCACATTAAACAGAAATAAAAAAATGGGGTCCCTGGAACAGCAGTGTCTATGTCACGTGGGACTTGTTTGAGATGCACATTCTTGGGCTGCACTGAAGACCTCCGGGTGATTTTGGGGGGTGTGAGGGTTTGAGAACCACTGGTTTAGTATGTCATGACTTTTATTAATATAAAGTAATGTTGGAAAAGAAGAAAGGTTGTCCACCCACTGTGACCCACTAAAACTGAGCTGCCAAATCTATTAAATCTGAGCTAGCCAAGGGAGTGTGGAAGTATTGCCCAGGAGGAGGGGACATTGCCTGCACAGACCACGGTACAAACCAGACAGGTTAGATTTCTGTGGAAGGTCTGCCTTGTCCTGTTGACTCCGTATAAAAGGGAGGCTAGAGCAGCAGGTGTCTGGGAGAGGGGTGCAAACTGTTGTAATGCCGTCAACTTTGATTCCAAGTGAGGGGAAAGGTTCTCCCCTTCATTTTTAAAAAAGAATTAATATTCAGTCTATTAAAGCAACAAATTAAAGATTTTAAAAGTTTTTCATTCAATTTACAAATCTTACAATCTAGTAAGTTTTTGCAGTCACTTAGGGGGCTTTGACTAATCTTTGGCTGCCTTTCCACACTTGTGCTTCCCAACTGTTAAACGTTTAGAACTGCATTTAGAGATTTAACATTTGATTTCATTTTCAAGTTCTTTGGTTGATTAAAAAAACAAACCCTTCACAAGTACTTAAGAAATTCTTATAAACCTAATAACAGTCTTATAAACATGGGAAGTCTTAAATTCTCTTACACATTCTAACACTGCTTATAAACCTCATAAGATTTTAAAGTCACAAGTCTAAGTCAATGATACTTTAAATTAAGATCACAAATCCAATTCAGTACTTTGCCAAGTTCTCTTAAACACTATAAGTTCTGGGGAAAAAGTGTAAATCTACCATAAAACTATTAATACTATAGCATCATCAGTACTATTAATGACTGTCTTGTCTTTATATTTAATTCTAAATATCCCTGGGGATTAAGATACATTTTCCCATTAGGTATAAAATTGTCATTTCCCCACAATTTTGGAGTTGCCTGAAGTGGACTTTTGAGATGAGATGATTTTAAGAACAAATTCTTAAATAAACGTTTTAAAAATCAATAATGAAGTAATCCATCTCTGAAAGCCAGCCTGGAGAATGGATACTTCTGTACTTCTCTCCACACCCCTACCCCTTTGTCATGCCCTCACCCCCAAACACAACTGATCAGTGGGTTGTTTTTAAGTCACATAGAAGCTTACTCTTAGGTTCAGTTAAATCTTAGCAGTTTGCAAAGAAAAAAGCCCAGACATGGAAAACCAAACCACAGCCCACAGCAAGGTCATGGCATGTGTGAATAAAGATGACCTGACTGATGTCCCACTTCACTTTCCTTTCTGTGCAGGTGGGCCTCATCCAGCTGGGGCAGGAGCAGGTGCTAATTCAGCCCCTCAACAACTCCCAGGGCCAGTTCAGTGGACGGGAGCATCTGATTAGGCGCAAATGGTCCCTGACACCCAGCCCCTCTGCCGAGGCCCAGACACCTGGACAGTTCTGCAAGGTCCTAAAAGGTGAGTCCTGGCAACAGGGTGATGGGCTCAAAGCACCCAGATACCTGGCACTCTTTGTGTGGCCCCAGATGTTATGAGGTCACATGAGGGGGAACTTACCTTGCTCCTGTCTTTTGAAAGCTGTTTTACAGCCCCTGAGGCCTATTTCCTTTTCCTTTCTATAGGTATTAGTGTCATCATTGAAAAGGTCATCATTTCATTTCCTGAAGGGGCTCAGGATCTCTTTCATGCAGTGCCTCAAGTTTATATATCAGGAGGTAGTTGAGACCCTGAAAAATCTCAGGCTTGTTTGTTATGAAACCCTGGGTTGGCAGTAGAGCCTGGTTGAGAATTCTCTCCTCCCAGTGCCCTGACCAGGGATCGCTCTAATGCAGTGCTCCTCAGTACCGGACACACTGATGAGAGCTGCTGGGGCACTGGGAAGCAGTGGTTCGTACAGTGTGGGCCCCGGGGCCAGCAGCCTCCGCAGCATCTGGGAACACATTAGTGATGCCGTTCTCAGGCCAGACTTGCTGAATCAGAAACTTTGGGGGTGGGTCCAGTCATCTGTAGCTCCACAGGTCCCGCCTGGGATATACCTGCATGATAAATTGTGTGAGATCCACTGCTCTAAAAAATGCCGTGCGCTGGTCTGTCCCCCAATATCCTAATCTTTTAGTCTGGGATGTGACTTGGGTGTCAGTGTTTTTAAAGGTGATTTTCATATGCAGTGGGAGGAGAAAACCCAGGGCTCTTGTATTCCCTGCCTGTCCTTGAGCAACCTGTGAATTTGAGCAACAGGTGTTTAACACCATTTTGGGGAACGGTGTCGCCAGCAGTCTACTTGCAAATGTCTCCTGAGGAAGTTGGATCACAGGTGGCCTTTTCTCCTTGGAGATCATGGTACCCACGACTGACCTTTGCTAGTTGTGCTTATTTAAAGACTTGCCTTTCTATGAAAGTGTAGTGTGTCTTGGTATAGTGCATATTCCACTGAGTTTGGAAATAAATTATGTGAGTAGGATGACCTTGTTATTTATAAAGAAGTCTTGCAGCTCAGCTCAGCCACTGTATGTAGGCCTGATGGACACAGGTTGTCACCCTCTTGGCTCTCCATGCTGCAGTGGAGTATTAGTGGTGACTGTGCTGACTCTGAAACCACAGGTGAGCTTCCCTTGTAGATGGGGAGAGAATGCTGCCAGCTATTTTCTGTTTTTTCCCTGCACCCTTAACAACGTGGGCAAGACAGACCCCAGCGTAAAATTAGTTTTACCTAAAGGATACCCTTTAATAGTAAACAGAGGTACTGGGAAGCCTGGTGGTTGGTTGTATATGGGTGTGATGACAGTGTTCTTTTCAATATAACTCCCCTCCCCCTTGACCTTAAGTCAGTCTGAGTGGATTTTTTTTCCTTTATCTACTTTTAAGATAAATGGCTGTTATTGATTTTAATCTTTGTGTGTGTTTTCTGCAACTGACCTGAACATTGGTTGAGAGGCAGAGGGGTTCTCTAAGGCCGTGGTTCTCAGCCCTGGCTTTTGTTGCCATCACCTGGGAGCCTGACAACTTCCTGTGCCCACACCCAGACAACTGCTTTAATTGGCCTCGGGCACAATCTGGGGGCACCTGACAGTGTAAAAGCTCCTCAGATGATTCTAATGTTCAGCTGGTGGCTCAAACCACTGCTCTAAGGAGTATGAAACATGGAACTAGCCCCTGCAGGCCAGCAGGAGCAGGTTTTCCCAGGTGAGCACCTTTCAGCAGGGCCCTGCAGTGAAACCAAGGGGAGATGTGTTTCTCGTCTCTCTTCCCTCCACTCACACCAGTGCTTATCAACTGCTAGTCTGTGATCAGAAACCGGGGTGCTTGTGGATGAGATAATGGAATGTTTGTTGAATGACCGCTTCATCCTCTTTGGTGGCATGACACCAAGGATTGCTGACAAGATGATAAATGGTGCTTGTGTTTGCATTTTTGTCCCTGTGACTAGTTTTGAAGCACTCTTTTGATAGACTGTTTAGCCTTTAATGAAGGAAATAAAATTAACAAAACCAAGACCAGGGTGGGGTGGATGCGATGGAGAGTCAGTTAAAACAAGAGCAGCCATGCAAGACCAAGACTGTGTAGGGAGAAATTTCTAAATTTGCTTAAACAGATAATCTCCCTTTCCCTGCTCTCAGATCTCATGTCAATTTGCTTTGCAGCACAGAAGCAATATGTGTATTTAAGGTGGAGTCAGACTCAGGCTCGTGACTAGGCAGGAGTGTAGACACAGAGGAGAGTTACATACAGGGTGGCCATAAAGTTCATGTGCGACTTTAAAAATTTCCCTCCTGGTCCTTCTTGCCTTGCATGACATACTCAGTAAGCTTTATGGCTGGGTTCAGACAACAGGCCTTTTGATGACAGGTCTTATCTAATAAGTGGTCAGTTAGGCCCTATCTAGTTTGGATTAGCCTTTAAACATTAGGAGTTTAGAAGTTGGTAAAATTGATTTCCTGGGACACCAGCACATTATGTTCTTGAAGTTTCCTAGAAATATTAATAATATTAATCCAAGATTCATGGGAATGTATTCTTTCTGGCTGAACATGGCAATGGCTGTGTGTTTTATTGTGCTCTGTTGTTGACCTTGTTTGTGTTACCCTAACCTGGGACATGGACTGGGAGTAGTAGCCCAGCTGTCTTGTGCAGGTGAGGTAGGGTCTAATAATCCCACTTCCTCCAAGGAGCACTTAGTTTACCTGAGAGTGGAAGCCAGGCAGGCTGCCTTGTGTCAAGTGTTTTATGTGTAGGCAGAGCTGTGAGCTGGAGGGACTGTCACACTAGAACCAGTGGGAACTGCTTCCTTCTCTTGGATACTACTGAGATTGCATTTCTAATGGCCACTGGGGCTCCACACAAGAGGGACAGGTTGATCTTATTTCCCTTATAGCTCCTTATTTATAGGACCTTATAAACTGATCCATAAAATAGTGCTTCAGGTTGGAACTTGGCATGAAAATACTGTGCCTTCAAGCCACCTTCTTTTTTTTTTTTTTCAGTGAGAGCATGAATTTTTGAAGGTTTTTTTGGGCTTATCCTCAAGTACCTAATGTATAAAAATGGTACATTAGGTATTTTGAAATGTTCCTTAATTTTGGAAGTGGTTATTATTTCCACCACAGAACTTTTTATTTTTTTTTTCCTGAGCTTAATTTCTCTGTTCTGATTTAATTCAGAATCTTCCTACCAGTGTTGTCAGGGTCTTTTTTTAAATTAAATCATAGCTGTGTACATTAATGCAATCATGGGGCACAGTGTGCTGGTTTTATATACAATTTGAAATATTTTCACCAAATTGGTTAACATAGCCTTCGTGGCATTTTCTTAGTTATTGTGTTTTTTTTTTTATTGTGTATTTAGATATTTATATTCTACATGGCATTTTCTTAGTTATTGTGGTTTTTTAAATTGTGTATTTAGATATGTATATTCTACATTTAGGAAGATTCACTTGTACCCTTGTAAGAATGACCATAGGTGTGATCCCACCAATCACCCTCCCTCCACTCGTCCTCCCTACTTCCCTCCCTTCCCTCTCCCTCTTCCCCATATTCTTATGAAAGCTATAAATTAGTTTCATAGTAGGGCTGAGTACATTGGATACTTCTTCTTCCATTCTTGAGATACGTTGCTAAGAAGAATATGTTCCACCTCCATCCATGTAAACATGAAGGAGGTAAAGTCTCCATCTTTCTTTAAGGCTACATAATATTCCATGGTATGCATATACCAAAATTTATTGATCCATTCATGGATTGATGGGTACTTGGGCTTCTTCCATGATTTAGCAATTATGAATTGGGCTGCAATAAACATTCCAGTACAAATATCTTTGTTATAATGTGAGTTTTGGTCCTCTGGATAT